GAGAGAGAAGGTGAACAATTAGATATTGACATTTTTTATGCTCAAAAATTAACATTCTTGACATGCCTAGAAGCATATTCTAAATTTTTAGTGATTAAGGAGTTCAATGACAAATCAGATATGGCAAAGTGTTGGAACTTATCCAAACTTTTCCTTTCGCTTAATCCATAATGATGGAGAACGACTCAATTCAAATCGTCAATGTCTCGTTCAGGTATAGCGATTTATCATGCAGACCCCAGACACAGTTTAAGCAACGATCAGGTATTATCGAAATTTCTCGTTGTATTCAAGAAGAATACAATATAATGGATCATTCCGAAGTCGTATACCAAGCAGTTAAAGAGTATAACAACACAATTCAATCGACAACTCAACAAAAACCATGTGACATATTATTTAACAAAATAGAACACCCAAAATTGTCAGAAAAATTACAATCAACTCAAGCCAAAATGTTAGATTACCATAACAAATAGAGGTCACCAAAAAATTACCAAGTAGGTGAAATAATTTATATAAAATATATATAAAAACATGGCGAACGAAACAAACTACAACCTAGATTTAAAAAACAGGTAGTTAAAGAAGACTTAGGAAATAAAGTCAAAATAAACAATAGGGATCGTATTATTCATAAAGACAATATCAAATTCTAACCTATTTTATGTTTTTTTTAATGTATTTTTAGAATGCACATTTTATGTATCTTATCTGTTATACTGCCGTTTTGCGGTGCAGACATTATCAATTATTCAAATGATGACTATCTCCTACTTGAGGATACAGATAATCCTTTTTTAAACGAAGCATACGGAGAAGTTTTTCACGTTGCTAATCTAAGCTTTTATAACGATATTTTTGAAAAAGAATTAAATTTTTTTAAAAACTAAAACAATACAATTGATCGGGAAGTAAGCTTGGAATTGAATTTAATCAAAACACTCCTTTCTGAACTTACACCTCACAAAATTGCCATACATAGTATCATTGAACCTGGCACAATTTTTAAATGGATCACTGGAACACCAGACCATAATGACATGATAACTATTCAAACTAAAATCAATGAACTTGTTCAAAACAATAATATGCAAAATCAAATCAATTCTGCAATTTTCAAAGAAGTCACTAAAATCACAAATCTTTTAAGAGATATTAAATTTAATCAGGAATTATTTATAAAAAAATATCGACTTAAGTTGTTATCACTTGACCTACAAAATCTGCTGAAATATTTTTTTCCAATTAGTAGCCACTAATCGGTTAATTGGCGCTCAACGTGGGGCTCGCGATTATAAACACAAAAAAAAGATAATTAAAAGACACAAAATCCTTAGTGATTCGCGAGTGAGCAAAATTGACGATTTACCAGTCCAATATTGTCTCAAAAGAGAATTAAAAATTTTCTAAGAACGAAAATATCGAGTGTCTCTAAAAGAAACATTAAAAATTTCCGACGAACGGAAATACCCTGTTTCTGAAAACTTGAATAGTAGTGAAAATACGCTGAACTGGAAATATTGATTGTTCACAAGACTTAAAAGTGAAATCAAATTTTCCCATTCAAATTAAATGAAAACATTCCAAAAAATTAATCGACCAAAGAAGCGAAACAAATATTTTCGCCAAAAAAAATTTGTTCACCAATTAAAAACTTTTAACCAAATAAAAAATATCACGTCAACCTGAGACCCCCATAAAAGAAGACCCTAAAACCCAGAAGGAAGGAAGGAAGGAAGACTTGAACGACATATGTATAACCACCCATAAAGAAAGACCTTTTACGTGAGCGATCATCATTTACTTTCAAAATAAATTTTTTTTACTTAAGTAATGAGAGCTTAAATTTGTGTAAGCATTTGTTAGAATAATAAGTGTTATAAACTGGATAACCACATAGAAAGTTTAATTGAAGATTTTCAAAATTTAAAAATGACTATCAATAATAACTTGACAGCTGATTTGGTAGTTCAGTTGATTGCAACTGAGACCAGAGCGCTTCAAGAGCAAATTGCAGAATTGAAGTTACAAATCACTCTCTCATCTAATAATGAACAAGAATATAAGATTACTGAAATAAATGACCTGTTATCAAGTCCATACCAGAATTCTCAGGCAGCTATAATGCATATGTTAGTTGGCGCGAAGCCGCTTGCTGTGCCATGCGAACGTATAAAGAAGGAAGTAGAAAATACGTAGGTGCTTTAACAATATTAAGAAATAAAATAACAGGTAAAGCTAATGACACCTTGAATAATCACGGTACCGTTCTTAATTTTGAAGCTATATTTCACAGGTTGGACTTCGCCTACAGTGATAGACGACCAATCTATATAATAGAACAGGAGTTAAGTATTTTACGACAGGGTAACTTATCCGTTCTTGAATACTACAATTTAGTTAATAAAAAGTTAACCCTTTTGATAAACAAAACTATTATGACGTATGGTTACAAAGCCCACATCATTACGGAAATGAATAAGAAAAACAGAGACAACGCTTTAAGAATTTTCATCACAGGTCCTAACGGTTCTTTATCAGAAGTATTGTTCTCCCTTAAACCTGAAAATTTGCCTAATGCTTTAGCAAAAGCTCAGGAACTGGAAGCGAATTACCAAAGGGCTAACTTCGCTTACCACCATTTGGCAAATACCCATCAACGTAATAATCTAAGCCCAGGGCATAACAATCAGCAAAAGAAAGCTGAATCCTCAAAACAATCTAATAAAAGATATGACAATCACTTAAGGTTCAATCAAGTTCCACAAAATCAATGCCACCGCTTTTTATATAAAAGAGGGTATATACGATAACGGAGAAGAATTAGTTATAAAAAAAGGAATTAAAACTGTAAATGGCTACAGTATCAAAACTCATTTTCATAACATAAACATATTTGGCAAATGCCACAGATTTTATGAAATTAATAATCTAAACACAGAACTATTAGTCGGTTATAATCTACTGAAGGAGATTAAGGCAGTAATCGACTTGTCAACGGGAACTTTGTTTTATAATAACAAAAAGGAAAATATTAATTTTACAAAACATGTCCAAGAAACGGTTGGCCATTTAAAAAGTTCAGACGAAGCCTATAACGTTGCTTCGTATTTGAACTACCAAAGTGGGAGATGTAAATCATTTTCTTTATTTAATGTATCCGATACAGAATCATCGTCTTTAAGTGACGCTGATAACCCACGTATCGAAAAAACTAAACTTGACGATATTCTTAATGAAGGAAAGCTAAAGAAATTAAAACTCAAAAAGAGCAGACGTCGAAAGATGTCGGTATCCTCTAAAACAAGTTCTTCTTTATGCATAATAAATCATTCCATTAATAAACTGGATAATTTGAATATCCTTGAGTAACAAGTTGTTCAACAAATAGAAACAAAGCATTCTCAGACGCAAACATGTCTCCCTTTTAGAACATGATATTAGAGGAGAGATAAGAACATTAAACGAAAATGCAATTTACAGTAAACAATATCCTTATCCACATTTAGCTAACAATTTTGTTAGTCAAGAAATAAACAAGATGTTAAATGAAAATATAATAAGGCCCAGCAGAAGTCCTTATAATGCCCCGGTATGGGTAGTAGGGAAAAAATGTTTTAATGAAGATGAAACGATTGGTAATAGATTTTAAGAAACTGAATAACGATACAATCCCCGATAGGTATCCAATACCTGATCCTTCAGTCATTTTATCCAACCTAGGCAAAGCCAAAGTGTTTTCAACAATTGACTTAGAACCGGGATTTCATCAGATTCGAATGAAAGAAGAAGACATCGAAAAAACAGCTTTTTCCATTAACAATGGAAAATATGAATTTCTTCGTTTGCCATTTGGGCTTGCGATCGCGCCAAGCATCTTTCAGAAAGCAATGGACAATAAACTACTTGAAAAAATCGGAAAAACTTGTCACATTTATATGGACGACATAATAGTTTTTTCAAATACCCCGGAACAACATTTTGATGATTTACAAGAAATCATTGAAATTCTATTCAAAGCAAACATGAAAATATCCTTAGAAAAATCAAAATTCTTTAGAAAAGAAATAGAATTTTTAGGATACATAGTATCATATAATATTATTAAAACTGATCCGAAAAAAATAGAATCAATCATGAAATACCCTCCTCCTAATAATTTAAGGGAATTACGTGGTTTTCTTGGCTTAACAGGCTTCTACAGGAAGTTTGTAAAAAACTATTCGACTATAGCAAAACTACTCACTAAATTGTTACAGGGACATAACGGTATGGTTTCAAAACATATGTCCAAAAAAACAGAAACCCTAAGCAAATTCCTATTTCTAAAGCCCCTGTTCCGGAGAGAGAAGGTGAACAATTAGATATTGACATTTTTTATGCTCAAAAATTAACATTCTTGACATGCCTAGAAGCATATTCTAAATTTTTAGTGATTAAGGAATTCAATGACAAATCAGATATGGCAAAGTGTTGGAACTTATCCAAACTTTTCCTTTCGCTTAATCCATAATGATGGAGAACGACTCAATTCAAATCGTCAATGTCTCGTTCAGGTATAGCGATTTATCATGCAGACCCCAGACACAGTTTAAGCAACGATCAGGTATTATCGAAATTTCTCGTTGTATTCAAGAAGAATACAATATAATGGATCATTCCGAAGTCGTATACCAAGCAGTTAAAGAGTATAACAACACAATTCAATCGACAACTCAACAAAAACCATGTGACATATTATTTAACAAAATAGAACACCCAAAATTGTCAGAAAAATTACAATCAACTCAAGCCAAAATGTTAGATTACCATAACAAATAGAGGTCACCAAAAAATTACCAAGTAGGTGAAATAATTTATATAAAATATATATAAAAACATGGCGAACGAAACAAACTACAACCTAGATTTAAAAAACAGGTAGTTAAAGAAGACTTAGGAAATAAAGTCAAAATAAACAATAGGGATCGTATTATTCATAAAAAGAATATCAAATTCTAACCTATTTTATGTTTTTTTTTAATGTATTTTTAGAATGCACATTTTATGTATCTTATCTGTTATACTGCCGTTTTGCGGTGCAGACATTATCAATTATTCAAATGATGACTATCTCCTACTTGAGGATACAGATAATCCTTTTTTAAACGAAGCATACGGAGAAGTTTTTCACGTTACTAATCTAAGCTTTTATAACGATATTTTTGAAAAAGAATTAAATTTTTTTAAAAACTAAAACAATACAATTGATCGGGAAGTAAGCTTGGAATTGAATTTAATCAAAACACTCCTTTCTGAACTTACACCTCACAAAATTGCCATACATAGTATCATTGAACTAGGCAAAATTTTTAAATGGATCACTGGAACACCAGACCATGATGACATGATAACTAAGAAATAAAATAACAGGTAAAGCTAATGACACCTTGAATAATCACGGTACCGTTCTTAATTTTGAAGCTATATTTCACAGGTTGGACTTCGCCTACAGTGATAGACGACCAATCTATATAATAGAACAGGAGTTAAGTATTTTACGACAGGGTAACTTATCCGTTCTTGAATACTACAATTTAGTTAATAAAAAGTTAACCCTTTTGATAAACAAAACTATTATGACGTATGGTTACAAAGCCCACATCATTACGGAAATGAATAAGAAAAACAGAGACAACGCTTTAAGAATTTTCATCACAGGTCTTAAGGGTTCTTTATCAGAAGTATTGTTCTCCCTTAAACCGGAAAATTTGCCTAATGCTTTAGCAAAAGCTCAGGAACTGGAAGCGAATTACCAAAGGGCTAACTTCGCTTACCACCATTTGGCAAATACCCATCAACGTAATAATCTAAGCCCAGGGCATAACAATCAGCAAAAGAAAGCTGAATCCTCAAAACAATCTAATAAAAGATATGACAATCACTTAAGGTTCAATCAAGTTCCACAAAATCAATGCCACCGCTTTTTATATAAAAGAGGGTATATACGATAACGGAGAAGAATTAGTTATAAAAAAAGGAATTAAAACTGTAAATGGCTACAGTATCAAAACTCATTTTCATAACATAAACATATTTGGCAAATGCCACAGATTTTATGAAATTAATAATCTAAACACAGAACTATTAGTCGGTTATAATCTACTGAAGGAGATTAAGGCAGTAATCGACTTGTCAACGGGAACTTTGTTTTATAATAACAAAAAGGAAAATATTAATTTTACAAAACATGTCCAAGAAACGGTTGGCCATTTAAAAAGTTCAGACGAAGCCTATAACGTTGCTTCGTATTTGAACTACCAAAGTGGGAGATGTAAATCATTTTCTTTATTTAATGTATCCGGTACAGAATCATCGTCTTTAAGTGACGCTGATAGCCCACGTATCGAAAAAACTAAAGTTGACGATATTCTTAATGAAGGAAAGCTAAAGAAATTAAAACTCAAAAAGAGCAGACGTCGAAAGATGTCGGTATCCTCTAAAACAAGTTCTTCTTTATGCATAATAAATCATTCCATTAATGAAATGGATAATTTGAATATCCTTGAGTAACAAGTTGTTCAACAAATAGAAACAAAGCATTCTCAGATGCAAACATGTCTCCCTTTTAGAACATGATATTAGAGGAGAGATAAGAACATTAAACGAAAATGCAATTTACAGTAAACAATATCCTTATCCTCATTTAGCTAACAATTTTGTTAGTCAAGAAATAAACAAGATGTTAAATGAAAATATAATAAGGCCCAGCAGAAGTCCTTATAATGCCCCGGTATGGGTAGTAGGGAAAAAATGTTTTAATGAAGATGGAACGCCTAAGAATCGATTGGTAATAGATTTTAAGAAACTGAATAACGATACAATCCCCGACAGGTATCCAATGCCTGATCCTTCAGTCATTTTATCCAACCTAGGCAAAGCCAAAGTGTTTTCAACAATTGACTTAGAACCGGGATTTCATCAGATTCGAATGAAAGAAGAAGACATCGAAAAAACAGCTTTTTCCATTAACAATGGAAAATATGAATTTCTTCGTTTGCCATTTGGGCTTGCGATCGCGCCAAGCATCTTTCAGAAAGCAATGGACAATAAACTACTTGAAAAAATCGGAAAAACTTGTCACATTTATATGGACGACATAATAGTTTTTTCAAATACCCCGGAACAACATTTTGATGATTTACAAGAAATCATTGAAATTCTATTCAAAGCAAACATGAAAATATCCTTAGAAAAATCAAAATTCTTTAGAAAAGAAATAGAATTTTTAGGATACATAGTATCATATAATATTATTAAAACTGATCCGAAAAAAATAGAATCAATCATGAAATACCCTCCTCCTAATAATTTAAGGGAATTACGTGGTTTTCTTGGCTTAACAGCCTTCTACAGGAAGTTTGTAAAAAACTACGCGACTATAGCAAAACTACTCACTAAATTGTTACAGGGACATAACGGTATGGTTTCAAAACATATGTCCAAAAAAACAGAAATATCTCTAGACGAAGAAGCAATCTCTTCGTTTGAAAACTTAAAATCACACTTGATTGCAAACATCGAACTAACTCAGCCAGATTATACAAAAAAGTTCGTCCTCACCACAGACCCTTCCGACATCGCGAAAGGCGATCACTCATATTTCCAACTAAACTAATCTCGTGTCTGAAGAAGAACCGTCGTCCGATAATGAAACTATCCATTCAGCCGACAGTAGTTATTAAAGCGTAATTGAAAAAACACACAAGCCATTGAACCAATTGAAACAACAATTACTTGTTTCTAAAAACAACATAACAATTCATGAAAAATTTGAAGTTTTCAACAAAACAAGACATATTATACACAGTACACAATTTAATAATCATACTTAAAGAATTTCTTTAACCAAACCTGACTACAGGAGTTCATTGCAGTCTCGAAGATTTATACGAAATCCAAAACTCATTAAAAAACACTTTTAACAACAAATTTTTATTTACTAAAAAGTATGTCCTAGACATCGAAAACAAAAATGACCAAGAAATTATAATAGAAGAAACACATGCTCGTGCTCATAGAGGTTCGGACGAAAATCTTAAGCAAATTCTCAAATACTATTATTGGCCAACACTATATAAAACCCTTAAGCAACACATGCGCTACTGCGAAATTTGTAATAAAAATTAATATAACAGAAACCCTAAGCAAATTCCTATTTCTAAAGCCCCTGTTCCGGAGAGAGAAGGTGAACAATTAGATATTGACATTTTTTATGCTCAAAAATTAACATTCTTGACATGCCTAGAAGCATATTCTAAATTTTTAGTGATTAAGGAGTTCAATGACAAATCAGATATGGCAAAGTGTTGGAACTTATCCAAACTTTTCCTTTCGCTTAATCCATAATGATGGAGAACGACTCAATTCAAATCGTCAATGTCTCGTTCAGGTATAGCGATTTATCATGCAGACCCCAGACACAGTTTAAGCAACGATCAGGTATTATCGAAATTTCTCGTTGTATTCAAGAAGAATACAATATAATGGATCATTCCGAAGTCGTATACCAAGCAGTTAAAGAGTATAACAACACAATTCAATCGACAACTCAACAAAAACCATGTGACATATTATTTAACAAAATAGAACACCCAAAATTGTCAGAAAAATTACAATCAACTCAAGCCAAAATGTTAGATTACCATAACAAATAGAGGTCACCAAAAAATTACCAAGTAGGTGAAATAATTTATATAAAATATATATAAAAACATGGCGAACGAAACAAACTACAACCTAGATTTAAAAAACAGGTAGTTAAAGAAGACTTAGGAAATAAAGTCAAAATAAACAATAGGGATAGGGATTATTCATAAAGACAATATCAAATTCTAACCTATTTAATGTTTTTTTTTAATGTATTTTTAGAATGCACATTTTATGTATCTTATCTGTTATACTGCCGTTTTGCGGTGCAGACATTATCAATTATTCAAATGATGACTATCTCCTACTTGAGGATACAGATAATCCTTTTTTAAACGAAGCATACGGAGAAGTTTTTCACGTTGCTAATCTAAGCTTTTATAACGATATTTTTGAAAAAGAATTAAATTTTTTTAAAAACTAAAACAATACAATTGATCGGGAAGTAAGCTTGGAATTGAATTTAATCAAAACACTCCTTTCTGAACTTACACCTCACAAAATTGCCATACATAGTATCATTGAACCTGGCACAATTTTTAAATGGATCACTGGAACACCAGACCATAATGACATGATAACTATTCAAACTAAAATCAATGAACTTGTTCAAAACAATAATATGCAAAATCAAATCAATTCTGCAATTTTCAAAGAAGTCACTAAAATCACAAATCTTTTAAGAGATATTAAATTTAATCAGGAATTATTTATAAAAAAATATCGACTTAAGTTGTTATCACTTGACCTACAAAATCTGCTGAAATATTTTTTTCCAATTAGTAGCCACTAATCGGTTAATTGGCGCTCAACGTGGGGCTCGCGATTATAAACACAAAAAAAAGATAATTAAAAGACACAAAATCCTTAGTGATTCGCGAGTGAGCAAAATTGACGATTTACCAGTCCAATATTGTCTCAAAAGAGAATTAAAAATTTTCTAAGAACGAAAATATCGAGTGTCTCTAAAAGAAACATTAAAAATTTCCGACGAACGGAAATACCCTGTTTCTGAAAACTTGAATAGTAGTGAAAATACGCTGAACTGGAAATATTGATTGTTCACAAGACTTAAAAGTGAAATCAAATTTTCCCATTCAAATTAAATGAAAACATTCCAAAAAATTAATCGACCAAAGAAGCGAAACAAATATTTTCGCCAAAAAAAATTTGTTCACCAATTAAAAACTTTTAACCAAATAAAAAATATCACGTCAACCTGAGACCCCCATAAAAGAAGACCCTAAAACCCAGAAGGAAGGAAGGAAGGAAGACTTGAACGACATATGTATAACCACCCATAAAGAAAGACCTTTTACGTGAGCGATCATCATTTACTTTCAAAATAAATTTTTTTTACTTAAGTAATGAGAGCTTAAATTTGTGTAAGCATTTGTTAGAATAATAAGTGTTATAAACTGGATAACCACATAGAAAGTTTAATTGAAGATTTTCAAAATTTAAAAATGACTATCAATAATAACTTGACAGCTGATTTGGTAGTTCAGTTGATTGCAACTGAGACCAGAGCGCTTCAAGAGCAAATTGCAGAATTGAAGTTACAAATCACTCTCTCATCTAATAATGAACAAGAATATAAGATTACTGAAATAAATGACCTGTTATCAAGTCCATACCAGAATTCTCAGGCAGCTATAATGCATATGTTAGTTGGCGCGAAGCCGCTTGCTGTGCCATGCGAACGTATAAAGAAGGAAGTAGAAAATACGTAGGTGCTTTAACAATATTAAGAAATAAAATAACAGGTAAAGCTAATGACACCTTGAATAATCACGGTACCGTTCTTAATTTTGAAGCTATATTTCACAGGTTGGACTTCGCCTACAGTGATAGACGACCAATCTATATAATAGAACAGGAGTTAAGTATTTTACGACAGTGTAACTTATCCGTTCTTGA